TTGAAAACGTATGGAGAGGGGGGAGGCGTACTGAGGAGGGAGAGAAGGAAAGTTTCGTGCCAAGCTGCTAAAAATAGTCGGCCGCGACTCCCGGGGTGTCTGCAGCTAGCTCTGTTGTAGCCGCTGTTGTGGCCCTTCTGATCTCATCTCTTTCACGCACGCGCATTCCCTCCTCTCCCTCGATTTCGTGAACGGAACGTTTTCTCTCTCTCTCAAGGTTTCCGAAAAAACGCGCCCCCTGACGCGGAGTCTCGCCTCCGGTTTGTCCCCCCCCCCCCCCTTCTTTACCTGCTCATTTCAGTGTTTAGCTTTCTTGCGTAGTTTTGGGGCTCGCTACAGATGCGTGGCTCGCCGCACGTCCCGAAGAAAAGGAACTCCCTCTCGGCAACAAGAACGCCTGGAAGACGGAATAAAGCCTTTTTTTTTCTTTTTTGAAACCCGGGCATGCAGCATGGGCCGTCTCCGCAAGCTCATATCTCCCTTCTTATAACCATACTTTTCACCCTCTGTTTAGCTGACGGTCCCCCTTTTTGCAAGGTGCTGCCCGCCTTTCAACACGCTCACACGTAGAACGCGAAACGCTTTGCTAAGCCGTGGTTTCAAGGCTTGTGTCCGGACCTGGCCCGTGCTGTGGCTAAAGCTGGATGCAGTTTTTTTTTTCTTTCTTTCAACGCTTCTTTACACCAAGGAAAATACATAGCGCATAAACGAACACGGGACCAGAGTGCGAAGGGACGAGCTCTACTTTCAGCAAGGCGAACTTCTTACATGCTTCATCAAAAGCGAAATTCGGCCGTCGGCATACCGTGGGGACGTCAGCATTCCATGAGGTCAACACGAGTGGTGTTAAAGAAATCGCCACACGATGACGTCACAAGATGACGCCTTAATGACACCGCGAATCGCCAAACCTTGTGACGTCATCATGACGTCAGGTGATTACGTCATCACACCGTCGCTTGCTTAAAGGTGTGGTGATCACGAAGGCAGCGCAAACTAGGTGAGAAGATGGAACCAGAAGATGGCGTTCGGCTTAGAGTCGATCTCAGGCGAATGCATAAGAGAGAAAGGCCCTGCGAGTCCTTGCACATTGCGCGTGTTTATAAGCAAAATATCTGAAACTGCAAGAATGAACGAATATGTCATTGTATGCTGCGTTTTCTTCTTTGATAATGCTGCTGTCGCCGAGCTTCCCACTCATCAGCTGTCCGGGCTGTTTCAAACGCTTCGACTGGTTCTCTTGTTCCCCTTCCTAGCGCTAGCGTCGTCTTCGTTTTGTCATGGCTTCGTTTCTGTGCCATGCTTCCTGCTCAGCGACCACCAGGCAACCCTCCGAAACCCTATCCCTCCTGAAGTGCTCCCTGTACACATCCTCTCCCTTCTCCTCTCCCATTCTCAGCCAAGACACGTGACCACTCTGAATTGGCCCATTGTACGTGTTTTCTAAGGGTAACTTTGCACGGTGCGTATTGCTTCAGCGGTGCGATTTTTCTACCGCGCGTCGCTTCAACCAACGCACCGATGCTCTACGTTTCGTCCTGTCCGTCTCATACATAACACAAAGAGCGGCAAGCGCCGAATCGCGGCGCACTGTTACCGCTCAAATAAAAATGAAACCAACCCTGCGCCGCACCCCGCCCAGCTGCTGTGTGGCCTTGACTCCTCTCTCTCTCTCTCCTAACCTGGCCTTCGTCCTTTCTATTTCTTCCACACATCCACGTATAGGATTTCTGGCAATGGACGTTTTTCGAGATTCAGCGTTCTCGCATGAATGCATCTAGTTTCTTGGCGTTCTGTAGGTGGGTCAGGACCCCCAGCCCATGGAATATCAGACGTGCAGTAGCAAAAAACAAAAAAAAAAAACAAAACAACAGCAATAAAGAAGCAGAAAGGGGGTGTGGCAGAGGACTAAGGGTGCAAGACTGCGTAATCTCGCTAAAACCGCTTATTAGGTTAAAGGCTTTTCGTTCACTCCATTCATCTATGAGCACGCTCTCCTCTCTTCAGAGACTGAGGGAAAGCAGACGTCTGCCATGTTCCTGAAGAGTTGGTTCGCACTTTTGAGCCAAACGCGTTTCCTTGTCTGCATTTTATACTTCTGTTGTTTTGCATATTTTAGCTATATTTTTTTAATACGAGAGAGGGGTTGAGATTGGTGACTGCCTCTTGACTCAGTTCTGCCACGTATTCTTAGTTAGGCCCCTTGCATGGAATACGTCATCTGTCGGTGTTAAGTCTTTTTTTTCTCCTCCTACCCGTCTTTTTTTTTTTTTTCTGACGAGCCACAATAGTCTCGTGTGCTTAAAACCAAGATCGCTGAACAGGATGACCTCACCTTTTGAACATGCTAATTTTTTAAAAAAAACATGCTTATGAATAGCGCAGAGCTGAATCTCTCCCGTACTCAGCCTGTCTCTCTGCAATCTCGCTCAGTTGACTACTTCCGAGGAGTGTTTAGAGTGAACACCAGAGCAAAGTGACGTGGCCTTTACTGGGGGGGGGGGGGGGGGGGGGGAGTTGAGGGGGCTCTGTTATTTCCCGAAATATTTTTCATGCTTCAAAAGGGAAAATATCGGGCGATGCTAAAATACTTACACGCATTCACATCGGTCATCGATTGTCGAAATTAGGCTTTCTGCACACGAACACCCATCGAACGAAATTCCTTGGTACGGTTCTGCTAGGTGGTGTACTTAACTGAAAGATCTCGAATATTCGCGAAGTGTTAAATGGGAAAAAATGATGTGTTGTGGGTGTTTTGTGCTTACTATGTGTATTCTGGCGTATTTTTTACAGTTGTTGTTCTTGCATGCACATTGTACCGCAACAAAAAGAGTTGCCGATGAACGTGTTCACATACAACAGCCAACAGGAAGTAGACCCGACACGATATCCTTTAGAAGTAAAGAGCTAGATGAAGCCGACACATCTTATTTTCGCGCCGATTCTGAAACACACACAGAGAGAGCGCTTGGAGCGCCACTCCAGCGCGAGCGGAGGCTCTCCATGCAATGTCCTGCCGCCTTCGCGCCGCCATCACACACCTTCTCTCTGCTTTTCATGACTTCTTCCAAACACTACAGCAGCTTCGCGCGAAAAACTCCGCCGCAAGCTCTCTCGCCAGCAGCTGCCCGGTACGCCGGCGCATTCCCTTCTTTTACCCCTGCAATCCCCCGTCTTGGCTGCTACGAGAAGGAGAACCCCCCTGCTATCCGAGTGAGCGCACCCCCCCCCCCCCCTTCTGCGACCCGTCAGTCATTCGCGCGCGACCAATCACGACAAAATGCTTCCGTGGCGCGGCGCGCCTAATCTCCTCCCCCCGGCACAGAACCGCGCCGGCGGCGGCGCAGTGCAGTCACCGCCCCCTCGCACCGAACTCCGCCGCCGAGCGGGACGAGCTCGCCTGTTAGGAGAGGGGCGCCCCGAGCTTGCTCTCCCCGCCGAAAAAGAAACGCCCGGCAGGGAGCCACCGCTCGCTCCTCGTCGTCGACATCGGCGACCGCGAACGCAGCAGCAGTAGTCGGCGAGGTTCCGCCGATCCTGGCTTCCTCGCGTTCGCTCTTCTTTGCCAAGCCCTCGCCACCGTCTGCATCACAACTCCCCACTGAACGCGCGCGCCTCACTCCGGCAAATCGACGAGGGCCCTTCGTTTTGGAAATTGTGACCTCGAACCAACTGCCGTACTTGGTTTCATTTTAGGAAGTGTGATCGCCCGTGTGTGTTGGGAGCGCTGTGCGCGCGTCAGCGCGCGTGTGAGGTTGGTTGGACGGTGGGGACCGCCTTCGCTCTCGCGCTCGGATTTTTTCGTCAACGACGGAACTGTGGCCCCGAACACCCCAGTGAAAGCATCTTGATCAACGCCGACTCTCGGTGCATCGGTTTCGCCCGTCACGTGGTACTGCTGCTGCAAACGCTGTGTCCCTGTCAGCTGTGTGGAGCGTGCGATATCGGTGGGCGGGCAACCGGTGTTTTGAAAAGAAAACGTGTCGGCTTTCTGCGACGCTTCGCAAGGAGGTAATCGTGATAACCGTTCGCTGGTGTTTGAATTACTCCTTACCTCGACCGGTGATCGTCCGTCGGCTGCTTCCTCGAATCGTCACATCGAAGTGTGCGTGTGAAGTGCTGTGTGGTTCATTTTTTTTTTCCATCGAGTGTAGGGGGCGGTTCTTCGGGAAAGGTTTCTTTCAGAAAAGGTATTTTTTCTTAGATAATTGGCTCTGTTTTTTTTTCTTTTCGAATTTTTAATCAGGCGCAGCTAAGTGTTCAACTAATCACGGTGGGTTCACGTTGCGTTGGTCGATTGAACCCAGTGCCGCCGCAGTTCACTTGGAACACGGACGTGGCGCTACAAACGCGCTGGACTAAGTTCCTCATGTGTTCCAACCTGGTAGTCGCGTTCCCTTTTAGGTGATTCGGTTCTGATTCGGTACCCCCCATTTTTTTTCCCATCTTTTCGGGGGGGAAAAGTTCTTGTTTCGTTTTTCGAAATTTGTATTTATTTTATAGCTTTTTTTGTCACCAAATCATTGACGAAGCTTTTATATTTTAAAATTCGCTGAAACCAACGTAAATTTGTGTATTCAAAGCAAAGACGAAATAAACACAGGGTCCCTTCAAAATTTTTTGCAGCTGATTCGTGTTGGCCTTATTCTAGTTTAGGTTTGACCAGAATAAGGCTTCGTTTGGTAAGCTAAGCAGCTATCTGGGCCAATCAACCAGCAACGTGATCACCTGTAATTTTTTAACATTAATTAGTACACGCGTTATACTGAGCTTGTTAGTGAGACCTTGTGACACCGTTACCCTACATCGGGCTTGACAGCTTGTTTCCACTGTCGTCGACCAAGGAACCATCTTCGGAGTGTCACCCGGTTCTCCAAGTACGCCCCACCAGTCCTCATCTTGGTTCAACGATTGTGGGATTACTGTCTTCCTTTTTTTTTTTTTCTGTGTCGCTTGATCCATCGCCTCTAAGAAAGGATCCCAGGCTCTCAGGAGGATCGCCGATTTCTGACCCTTGCTTCGCTGGAAACGTCGACCAGTTTTTTTTTTTTTTTTTCTCGCATACCGCCAGAACCCCGGAAGAAAGAAAGACCACCACCGCTGCTGATTTGTGGAAGGAAAAAAAAAAGAAAATTTCAGAAGAGTTGATTGAAGACGACCGCTGACATTGCCAACATTCAGAGAAGGTCCGGCAGTTCTGACCACGCCAGTCTGTGTACAAGAAGAAAGACTGACTCTGCAAGCGTGCGCACATTGCTATTCTGAAAGGCCTAGAGACATCTGCAAGACCATCAGTCGGTCCTTGTATGAAATAAGGCCATCGTCGTCATCCTCTTCAACTACAATATTTTTTTGTGTGTTGTGTTGTCGCCTCAAGGGTGCATCCGAAGCTCGCTGTCGCACCGTGTGTTGAACTGGTGTCCCCGAAAAATCCCTCCCTGTGTTTCGAAAGATTGCGAGGAGAGAAAGCAATCCACAACACTTGATTGTGTCTGTGAGAGTGTACGTGCGTTTACTGCACCGAACAACCCTCTTCGTCGATTTCAACTTCGCTTTATTTTTTATTTTTCGACAAGAAGACGTGTTCTCGACTCGCCTCCTCAAATCTTGGTTAATAGAGTTCTGAGAAACCACCGTCCTACTCCGAGCGTCGTGCAACCCTTTAGCTCGACAACGACCTTCTTTAGAGAAGAATCTTCGGTTGGACCCATCGTACTCGAGCTGTGCAACAGAAGAGGGAGAGGAGGATTTCCCTGGCTGACGTCTTTGTGGTATCGCTGTCTTGGCCTGTGTACCTCGCCGCCGCAAGTTTTTGTGTGGTGTTCCAAAAACTTGCCCGGATCGAGAGGGGGACGTGAAGAGAGGTTCCGGTTTCTGCAGCTTCACTCGTGGAAAGAGCTTCGGCCTTTTGTGGAGTGTCAGTGCTTAAAAAAAAAAAAAAAAGGTACGAAGAAAACGTCGTTGACGACCACAAGCATCCCACTGTGTCACGGGGAAGCTGCTAAAAGCTAGGAACTTCCAAAAAGTCGACATGGCTCAACGGGTAAGCACGACTTTCCTGTTTCGATTTGTTTGCTTTTGTTATTCCACCGTCGTCAGGTGTTCCTTTTACGGCGTGAGTAGGTCGTAGAAACGTGCTCAGTCTTGTTCGCCGTAGACGGTGGAACCAACGTTGTTAGTAACGTTGGGTGGAACTAGAAGCTGAAATTTCAGTAGCAGAGTTTTTTTTTTTTTTTTGCATCTGATAGGTATGAATATTTTGGATGTGTGCACTTTTGCTTGACGATAGTTATAGCGCGAGAACAAAACGACGACACAGAGACAAGAAGGACACGAGCGCTCGTGTCCTTCGTGTCCTTCTTGTCTCTGTGTCGTCGTTTTATTATAACTATCGTCATGCCATACCAACTAGCCCAAGCTGCCACAGTGCACTTTTGCTGTATACTTTGGTGTTGCTGCTGTATACTTTGGTGTTGCTGTTCTTCCAAGTACTGCTGCGACTTGGTTTGGACACATCGTTCGCATGAGTATTTTCCAAGAGTTGATAGAGTCCTTCAAAGCTGACAGTTTTGACAGTACGAGAATCGTTTGAAGTATTGAAGGACTCTGGTCCCGCCATACCACGGTGGTCTAGTGGCTGTCAGCTGCAAACCCGCAGGTCGCGGGGCCGAAACCCGGCCGCGGCAACCGCATTTTTGATGAAGTTCGAAATGCTTGGCTTAGATTTAAGTGGACGTCAATAAGTCCCAGACGGACAAAATTTCCGGAGACCTCCTCTACGGCGTGTCTCATAGCCGTTTTGAGACGTTAAACACCAACATTTCTATTGGTAATGCTTATAAGAATCCCAATTGGTTAACAGTCAAGTAGGTTTGCAAAAACGCGCAGCAATACTAACCAGCAGTGGTAAAATGAACTCGTTTTAATAACATGCCGTAGACTAGCAGCTTGCAAATGAAATTCATGATATACGTTTGGAAATTTCAAACATAGGGGACGTCTTTAATTTGGAATCAGGTTGTCTAATGACACTGTTAGTAAATTTACGCGGTAAGTCTACAATAATTTCCGCGTAAATTTTGGTGCACAGCAAGCTCTGCCCAATGCGTTCCTTATTCAACGATACTGACGGTATACTCGCTGAGTATCAGTGAAAATGTGTTTTTATTTCGACCAATACGTGCACTCTTTCATTATAAGAGAAATGATGCAATATTTTGAAGAAAAAGATATTGACTCGAGTTGGTTATCGCTGAATCAGTTGGCACTAAGAATAACTTACTAATAATAATTTGCTCGTCTGTCAGGTTAGAAAATAACGATAGCTTGAATTCCTCTTATTCGAAGAAAGTGACAAATGATGAGCTTTATTGATATCTCTCATTACGACAGTTGTTTACACGATATAAAACCACTATGCTGCCGACCGGACGTCCGAACCTGCCCAAACCTTAAATTCAAGAGGTTTTGCAAGCCTTTTCAAAATTAAAGCTGTTTTCTTTTCATCAATGAAGTAAGGATTTAATTGTGTCAATTTGCAGTTTGAATGGTCTTGACGACATTTCCCTAGTGCTGTTTGATTGTGTGCTGTTCTAATATATCTAGGCATAGTATTCTGTTAGCCTGAATCCAAAATGTACACGTATGCAGGGGCGAGTCCAAAAGCACAAGCATTTCTTATTAAAACGTATGTTCTGTAAATAACGTCCTGTTTGCGTCCGAATTACTAAGTTAACGTAATAAACACGCGTAAAATTATCGTATGCAAATGCTATCACTCTGTGGACATACCAGAAGCGAGCATCGAAGAAAGATTTATAGTTAGTAATTGGAGGCTCATATCATATAAGGCGTATTACTGGGGGAATTAACTGACTGTAGAGCGCGTCTCTCATAACCATATGGTGGTTTTGGGACGTTAAACCCCACATATCAATCAATCGACTGATGTAGAGCGTCCGCGATATATGCACACCCACCGAAACATACAACAATAAGCCAAGCTATAGTCGATTACAAGATAAGAAAAAAAATCGACTCTGGTCCACAGCGATCGCTGCCCCTCGCACATAATATGTGCATAAATGTTCCATCCAATTGCGTTTAATTACTCTTGTGACGTCATCGCTTATTCGAGTGTTTCAGACGGTTGCCTTCGATTATATGCAGGTATTCGTTTGTGTTGACGATTTTCAGACAGAAACCTGAATGTTCTGGTAAACATCGTCAGGACTTATGACATTGCTGCTAATAACGATGTACCTTTAATTGTGCGTAAGATTTACGTTAGCCGAGAAGATTTAAAAAAAAAAAGTTTGCTTGGGATTCGAGCAGAAACCAGCTGGCCAGGCTGTCCTCTACATACGATGCGCCGGCGTGCTGTGCTCCTGTGGGCGGAATAATACAGTTGTTTTCATTCATCCATTTTGTGGGCGGAACTTACCATCTAATATTAGGTTGTAACAAAGATCGTAACCGACTATCATGTGCCATTATTGATGTGCATTGCCTCGCGGGAAACCTCAACACCACGTGACATGATTTTTATTAACATTGCTAACGTAGCAGGTGACAGTGTAATAAAAATTAGGAATTCCAGACTGCAGCCTACTAATGCAACCGCCGTCGTGGGCAGTGTTTGCTGTTTCACATGAGCAAGCTATTCGGCTTCGAGGATTTTCGATCGAGTCATTCTTGAACTGTCATGTTCCAAGTATTGTGTTTATACGTCTGGTCCTTGTTATTTAAGCGTGCCTCTTAACATTTTCGATGACTCTGCGCACGTTTACAGGTGCAGCTTTTTTTTTAAATATACAGCACTCGCAGTTGTTTTCACACACAGCAGTCTGTGTGGGAAAACAGTCAATTATTCGCTGGTACTTATTATAAAATGTTATACACCGACCGTTGCGAATACGTTGTGAGCATCTTCAAAGCATACTCGACCACTGACCCAAAGATAACGGGTTCGATATTAACACGTGAATCCTGCTTTACGTGTCATGACTGCAGACCGATTGAGGTCTCGAACTGGGGTCCTTGAATGACGCGTATTTAAATGTAAACACTCGGCCTCCCTAATTTTTGTCGCTTTGCATATCGTGGCCGGGAGTCGGAACGCGGGTCTTCGAGCTTATGAGCGGGTCGAATTCAGAAAAGATACTCATTAACTGCGACGAAAGCACTATATATTCGGCGAGGCGCATATATACCTGCTGCACGAGTCAGTAAACTGTGAAGTCTGCCAAGAAAACTTCGTGGCCCCGCCGTGCTGGTCTAGTGACTAAGGTACTCGGCTGCTGACCCGCAAGTCGCGGAATCGAATCCCGGCTGCGGCGGCTGCATTTCCGATGGAGGCGGAAATGTCGTAGGCCCGTGTGCTCAGATTTGGGTGCACGTTAAAGAACCTTAGGTGGTCGAAACTTCCGGAGCCCTCCACTACGGCGTCTCTCATAATCACATGGTGGTTTTCATTTTTTTTTCATTCACTGTTTATTCAGACCAAAACAATGATTGCCTAGGTTGAAGGGACTAAAGACAGATTACCTCTGCCTGACTAAGGTCCCTCAGAGACGTTAAACCCCACATATCATCACCATGATCATCATCTTCAAAACTTCGTGAAAAAGTAACCGCGCATGCGTTGTACAAAGCAGCGGTATATAGATGATAAAGATATAAGGATAATAATCAAAAGATATCTGGGGTTTTACGTCCCAAAACCATGATGTGATTATGAGATACCCCGTATGTGGAGAGCTGTGTGAGGTATATATTCCCGTATTTATTTATTTATTTTTTGGTAATGATAACAGGCCTGCGTTGCGCGAACAGATCTAAATTTGAAAAAGAAGTAAAAAACAAAAAAAATTGCCGCGAGTTCTTTTTGTGCGCATGACGAGGCATGTTCACGGTGGCGGCGCAGGTTGAGACCTCTCTGTGCTTCTCAGAAGTTCGTGACGTCATCAACCCTCGCGTGACGTCTTTCTTTCTGCGTCGCCTCTTCGAGTGACCTCGTGTCTTTTCACGTCTTTTTGTTGAGTTACTTTTGTTTCTTTGCCGCCGCCACCACCGCCGCCATCTTGTTCTCGTTGCTGCGCGAGACGAAAATGTCGATGGCTGTTGTGCTAGAGACTGCGTTACCGGGGGGCTGACATTTTGCGCAACTTCACAAAAAGCCCCAGAACGCGCTGTACACAAATGACGACTGTCTCGCTTCAATGAAAACGTGTGCACCTTGCAGCAAGGAGACCGACGAACAGAGTGATAGATATCATGAGAAGGTACGAAACAAGAACACCGCGCACATATTACGGGGCCCAGATGCTAAGAACAACTTTGCCCTCTGTGTCAAACCTCTTATCGCAAAATGAGTTTGACATTTATTGTTGCAAGTCTGCACTTTATGCTTTTTTTGGTGAGCTGATGTCTAAAATGTCAGCTTTGAACGTGTCTTTAATGTTTTAATAGCGTGTAGAATAATGTTTGCTTTCTGTGTGTTCATACTTATGTACGCCACTTTCCGTATACCATCGCTGCATGCTGAACTGTGATCGGCTGCATGGGAAGCCTAGTCAAGCTCACAACAGCTTTTTCTTCCCATGCCCTCTACTTCCCGAAGTGGAAAATAAATGATTGATTGATTGATATAAACAATATACATAGATTAATATACAAAGAAAAGGAACAGTCACGCGATTAATGCAATTTTAGTTTTACGCCCAATGAAGGTGATGTGATTGCGATGGACGCCGTTACAGAGTGCTCCGAAAATTTCGGTTCACCACCTGGGTTTGATTAACGTGCACCTAAATCTGACTATGTCGATCGAATCGTACGTTGAGAAGCCATGACTAAATGGCATAAGCTGTAACAAATCAGCCCGTAAACTTTGGGAGGAGTCCCACTAAATGAAAGAAAGGAACTGAGTGTATTAGCGACACGTCCACCTCCATTTAAGAGAGCGAGGTAAAATTATTTCGATGCATGACCGTAGCCAGATTCGTAGCCAATCAGTGGTATGGTCTAGATACGTGCTCGGCT